CAACTCGAGCAGGTTTTTAAAATGGGGTTCTCTGCTCCCAGGGAGCTGTTTGGTTAGCTATTGAATTATCTTGTTTAGTTTACTGACTTCTGCACATGAGCAAACAAAAACAGCTCAAAGCCAAAAAGGCAATCTGTGTAGAATATGAGTGGAGCAGTGGAGCGCCTGCCAGTGTCACATTTGTGTCCTGGTAGCAAAAATATACCGCTAGCTGCAGAGAGAGAGAGAACGGAAAAAAAAAAAAAAAATCAGTGTGGAAATGAGGTCTGTGGTTCGGGCCTGCTGGTACAAGGTTTTAAAGACAGTCAGGTTCAAAGAGATGTTTTTTTTACTCTGGAAAAGTCAATTTAAATCAACTTGTTTACATGATCCAAATTATTTATTAATCACAGATTAGCAAAGCTTACTGGCATAGTTGTCTCAGAAGTGTTTGCATTAATGCAAATGTTTTAATATTAGCTGAATAGTACCTTTTCATGCTAGCATGCAAATTGAGCCACAGGCCTTTTAAAGCTTGGATTTAATTGCATTCACTGTTTATCTGAATGCATTTAGTGTCCAAAAGCCTCCTTTATTATGATGAGCATCTATTCCTTTTAAAGTCTTGGATTTTGTTTGAGAGGCAAACATGGAGCAGCAGCGTGGACACATTTTGATCTAAAGCCAACTTGAAAAGAGGAGCCCTATAATCCAGAGGAGATTATTATTATTAATATTGTTTTGTTTCAACATTCCAGCAAATATTTAAACACTGATAATTATTTTGTTATATATACTAAGAAAAGAACATCATAAGTGCAACAGCTTGTGTTCATAATCTATATTTTCATTAAACCCACCCTTGCTTTTGTTGTACGTTCACTGTGCCGTTTTCATTTGAAACCCTTTTCAAGACTAAACGCTGTTGGTGAAAGGAATTAGTTTTGTAGGCAATTGTCCTCCAGACTTGTAGAAAATTACATTCTTTCTCCCAACATGACCTACAGTTCAGTCATCAATCACTTTTTCTTTTTTCTGTTTTTCCTCTCACCACTCTCAGGATTTATGTCCCCGCTCCTGTCGTTTCTGCTGCACACTTTATCCTCCACTTTTGTTCATTGTTAAAATTCTCCCATATGCTCTGCTCCATCAGAGCAGGTGGCAAACCCCAGGTGCACCACACACCTCCACTTGCACTCGCACCCGTCCTGTGCAACCAAAGCCATGTTTCCGCTGGGCTCACTAATTAGCTGTGGAAGTTCACATCAACCTCGGCCTTGAATAGCACTCATATTCTTTATTTTCTGCTAATAGTCCCTTTGTGAATGTGAGTGTAATTTTCTTATTGCTGCTCTTTCTTGTGTATCATCAGGTTTTTAAGGATGGATTAAAAAAAACGGCACAGTGGTAATTTCTTCATTACATTTTAGGACATTAGTGATTTACTGAAGAAAAAGAATTCAAAGGGATCATGAATACAGTGTGAAAAAAAGAACATTGACAATCAGTGGAATTCAATGATTTATTCCCCACAAAACACATTTTTTGACAAGTGTTATGCTGAGTCTTTTGCAAATCATTGACAATTAGGAGTACTTTTAGTTTTGACAAACTGGAACTCTCTTTGTTGCTAGGAATTTTAATTTGGATTTTGTCTTATTTTGTTAAAAATGCAGCTGCCAGGAAAAAGACAAAGAGGAGATATATATGGATGAAGTTAGAGAAAACATGGAGGTAGCTGAAGTGAGGACAGAGAATGCAGAGGACAGAGATGGAGGAGGATGACTCGCTGTGGTGACACCTGAAGAGGAAAAAGCTGAAAGAAGAAGTCCTATATATACAGATTTTAAAAAGCAATCAAGACTAAAAGGACAAGAATCTACTATCATTCTGTCAAAATGAAGATTAACTTATAAATGTTCCACAGAAGTCCTCTGCTCGAGCTCATCCAACACTGATTGAGTTGTAGATGAGTGGGAGCTGCCGCACTTTAGGAGAGGCAACATGCTGAGAGGGTGGGAGATGTGACAGGACTGCTAAGCTTTATAAATGGATAAAAGCACCCCTATATGGATGGGTTGAGGGTGTCCCGAGAATAAAAGCAGCAAAGAGGACAGAAGTGGATGAGAGAAAATTCCACAGTCTGTTAATCACCTGCAGCATCTTAATGGTAATGACTGCTCTCCATATCTGTCTCTCTGACTTTCAATGAGCTACAATGGTGTTCAAAGGCACAAAACACTGATTTCTTTGTTTTTAGAGGTAGCTTGTGCCATATTTCAGCCTGTCTTTTGAATTATTCCATTTGTTACACTTTGAGGATTGTTTCCTTTTTCCATCAGCAGGACACAAATGTCTGCTCTTGGTTCACATTCTTAGACAATTAGAAAGTTGTGTTTTCATCCCAAACCTACCTGTAACCTTCTAAAATATCTATATCTATCTGATAGGAAGATAAGATAAGAACTTTATTGATCCCGCTGGAAATTGTTGTGCCAGGGTTTCAATACAAAGGGACATGCACAAGAAATCACACAAGATACAAAAATAACAGAACATAAAATATAACAGAGAATAAAATACCAACAACAAAGGTCCAAAACAGGTCAAGTGCAGACAGAAACAATAAAGTGTTTATTGTAGTGCAGGATTAAGTTTTGTTTATTTATTTTTATTTATGTGTTTATTTTAAACATGTCTTCTGTGAGGTACTTGCATGTACTGATTCATTCTAGTACCTAGCACCTTACTAGCACCTTGTTGTTTACTATATATTTTTTGGACCTTGCAGATCTTGTATTTCTTTGTATCTTTTTGGTGCTTTGTTTTGTACTTTTGTTGCATGCTTTGTTATTTCTTTCTTTCTTTCTTTCATTTTTTTGGTGAGTACAGACGATTCTTCTCATTGTGAGAACTTTTTTGCATTGTTGACCTGCATATGACAAATGAGCAATACAGTAGTCCCTCAATTACTGTGGCGTTATGTTCCACACACCTCTGCGATAGGTGAAAAACCACGAAGTAGGAACATTGCAGTAGTTCCTCGCTACTTTGCTGTTTGTTTATCGCAGACTCGCTCTATCGCGGTTTGTCAAAATAAGATTGGACATGACATACAATTGGCTGATTGATGTATGAGCCACACAATCAGCATGGATTTTTATTTAAAATAAATTATTTAAAATTATTTAGCACCTGGCAGCACGGTGGCACAACTGGTAGAGCTGCTGCCTCTCAGCGAGAAGGTTGCCAGCTCAAATCCTGGTCTGGGGGCATTTCTGGGTGGAGTTTGCATGTTCTCACCGTGCATGCGTGGGTTTTCTCTGGGTACTCCAGTTTCCTCCCACAGACCAAAAACATGCATGTTAGACTGATTGGTAACTGTAAATTGTCCCTAGGTGTGAGTTAGAGAGTGAATGGTTGTTTGTCTTGTTTGTCTCTATGTGGCCCTGTGATGAATTTGCGACCCGTCCAGGGTGTACACCGCCCCTTGCACTGTGATTGCTGGACATGGGCACCGGCGACCCCCGTGACCCAAAATGGAATAAACGGGTAAAGATAATGGATGGATGGATGGATATTTAGCACCTGCTGCACCTTTGTGCAGCCCACAGTGCAGGATAAGCTTCCTGCTGCAGCTGATCAGCTGTTCTCTCTGCAGAGCGAAGAAGTGGTGTGGCCATAAACACTTGTAGGTGGCAGAGAGCAGTGAAGTCAGAGAGAGGGAAATCATGATATTTTGTGCTATTTTAGAGCATTTAGAGTTTCGAAACATTGTTTAGAATATTGCAAGTGTGGGAATTGTTTAAAATGCCTTTGTATATATATATATATATATATATAT